GAGGAGCTAACTGAGTTAGGGGCAGGGGTTTGTGAAGCTGGAGTCCATGAAAGCCAAGAAAGGGCTTCGTAGGAATAGGAAATGGTGGGGAGGAGGAATTACATTTTCTACTAACTTCAAACTGAAATTTAGCATTTTCTTTAATTATGAGCGTGGGCAACAAACCATGTGGTCTAGGTATTTTGACACCAATGGAAACTACAGATATTTTCTATATGGCAGTTGTTGACTGCCATATAGCTGTTCAAATATCTTGAAATATTTACACATTTCACCACTGAGACACCATGGTACTTGGATACCCTTTGCTAGATCTTGTTATTTAATATGTTAATAGAGGACATCTATTACTATTTTTTAAGTGTTGTGATTACTGTATTTCAATGTCATTGGTTGCCTTTGTCATCCTGTGTATTTAACTTATGCATTTAAAAGCATGACTCTGAAAAGAGACTCATAAACTTCACAGAGTTGCACAAGGGGTTGATGGCTCAAAAAAGAATGAGAAGCCCTGAGCTCAGCCCTTGCCTTGTGGCTGCCACTGGCCTCCCCAGCCTGGGAATCTGCTGTGGCCTCTGGGCCTCACACATGCTGTTCCTTTGCCCTGTGTTGTCCGTTCCCTCCTCTCTGCTTGGCATTAAATTCCGATGGCTCCCATCATGCTTTGCATGGACATGAAACATTACCAACTTTGGGACGCCTCTCTGGTGGTGCCGCACAGGATATGTGTCCTAGCCAAGTGCTCAGTCTCTTCTCCCACTCCCTCCTCCCTCACCTCACACTTGTCACACAGCATTGCAGTTGCCTCTTTGCTTGTCTGCCTCCTTGAATGGTCTGTGAGCTACTTGACAGAGAATACCCCTCTTCTCCATCCCTGATCCCCCATGTGTGATGTGCTTATTACAGGCATTCAACACAAGGATACGTAATTCAGGAAGAATGGATGGATGGACAGATGAGCAGATGGATGGATGGATGGATGGATGGACAGATGGTTGGATGGACAGATGGATGGATGGATGGATGGATGGACAGATGGTTGGATGGACAGATGGATGGATGAGCACACGGATGGATGGATGGGAGGACAGATGGATGGATGGGAGGACAGATGGATGGATGAATAGACGGATGGATGGATGGATGAATAGGTGGATGGATGGATGGATGAAAAGATTCAGATACAGGTGTAAAGCATTTCACATGTACAATCTCTTTATTCAGTGTTTCTCCTCTTAGAAATGATATTTTTCTTCCAGCGAAGGTTGGTGGGAATCTTTGTGCTGATAATACCCACAGCTCTTCTCCCATAGCAGGATCTGAGGGAAACTTGGCAAGAAACACTGCCTCTGGATCCAGCCTCCCAGCCGCAGCCCCAGGTCGAGCAGGTGGGCCGGAACCACGGTCGCTGACCAGGGTATCTGATCCTCTCAGTCTGAAGGAAAGTGAGACCTCAGCACAAACGCCATGGATGACACAGCATGGGAGGGAGCGGCCCAGAGAGAGAAGCACCAAGCACTTGATCATGGAGGAGGAGGAGGAAGAGTGGGATCCATGGGCAGGCAAGACCTTTCCATGGCACAAAAAACAATTTTAGAAGTATCCAGTTGTATAAAGACTGGAAAAGGGCATCTGTTTCAGCCGGTGGACCACAACAAACCACCCACCCACAGATGAAACGCACTTTCACAGCTGCCTCTGAAGATGGGTTTGAAAAACCAAATACAAAATAAAAATAGCAACTCTCATTTATTGAGAGCCTACTATGCATTGAGAGACTTTCCAGTGCTATGCCCAATCTCACCATGTGAATGCTGGCACAGTGACTATCACTATTTTACAGACGAGGCGACAGGCTCAGAGAAGTCAAGTTGCCTGAGGCCACATAGGTTTAAGGAGCGGAGTCAGAATGTGAACCCTGGTCTTTCCAATCTCAGAGCCCAAGCTCTTCCATTTGCATTAAATTCATCTTTAATTTATGGGAAAGTTTCATCCTCTTGGGGGAGAAATCCATGTAATAATTCTGAAATAAGACCATTTGGACTTTCAAAGGCCCTTTTACCTCGACTGGGTAAAATAGTGTCCCCTTTGAAGGAGTTTCACCTGTGGGCTCTGCAGTTGGGTGGGGAAATCTGTTGACTTTGGGAGCAGCCTCTGAACTGGAAACAGGAGTATTACAGACAACAAGGAGATACATATACACATATATTTTTTTGAGACAGAGTCTCGCTGTCTCCCAGGCTGGAGTGCAGTGGCGCGATCTCAGCTCACTGCAAGCTCCGCCTCCCAAGTTCACGCCATTCTCCTGCCTCAGCCTCCCGAGTACCTGGGACTACAGGTGCCCACCACCACGCCCAGCTAGTTTTTTTGTATATTTTTAATAGAGACGGGGTTTCACCGTGTAAGCCAGGATGGTCTCGATCTCCTGACCTCGTGATCGCCCGCCTTGGCCTCCCAAAGTGCTGGGATTACAGGCGTGAGCCACCGCACCCGGCCGACAACAAGGATTTTATGAAAGAGAAGGCCATGACACAAAGTCTCACGGCAATCCCATAATTTCCTTTGCAGAGGAATTTAAGAGAGAAACCTCCTTGAGACGCGGTTAGTGCACCGTTTTCAAAAAACCTGAATGGAATAACCTGTTGAGAGAGCAAAGAGCTCCTGCGTTTGTGGCACACGGGAGCCTGGCAGCAGCAGGTGTGTGTCAGCGGGGGACCCAAGGCAGGCCTCCCCTCCACAGCCCCTCCCACACCCCAGACTTAGCCATGCTGGTGCCGGACATCCTGTGCTGCTTCGAGTTGTAACTTCACATCCTCCAGAGCTCCAGGCAGCACTAAAGCCTCTGGGACGCGGTCAGCTGCTTAGATGGGTTCCCAGGAAGGTTCACTGTTCTGGAAAGGTCTGTAAGCATGTGACCTGAGCTCCTTGAGGTTCAGGGGGCTGGTCTGACCGAAGCAGAGTTTTCCCTTTCCCAGCTCAGGAGGGATTTTCCCAGTTCTCCCTGTCGAGTGTCTGAGGGTAGTGACTCGGCCAGGCTGGGGGCTGCAGGTCCCGGAAGCCCAAGGTATGGATGCTTATGGGTGTTCAATTGATGTCTTTCCCATAGTTGGTTTCATTTAGGCATTGAATATGTATTTTCTGCCAAACTCGATTACACCTCAAGCTCCATGAAGGCAGGGACCACGACTGCTTTGTTAACTGTGTACCCAGGGCCTGGCCCCGAGGCTGGCACTAGATGCCCAACAAACGCTTGTGGAATGCGTGGCCAACACCTTAGCTTTTCTACAGTTGGTCTTTCTGTTTAAAGAGAAAGAACGAAAGTGACGGGATTGACACTGCGTTCTATGTAAATGCTGCTCCATGGAGTTGTGCAACATCAGTGCTCCAGGTAGAAAGGCACACAGCAAAGCTGACTCAGGCAATGGTGCAAGTTCAAGTTTTAACTTTTGTGCCCAGAAAGTCCTCATGTCTCTACTCCTGGCTGGGCCTGGGATGGTCCCAAAGTCTTCAGGTTGATGTTTCTTTAAGGTCGTTCTCGGAAGCAGGACCAGAGTCCTGTTCATGAAGTCCAGGGCTCCCTGCGGTGGTCCCCTGATTGGACCCACCCATGGCCCTGCCTGTGCTCCTGCTATATCTACCCAGGGCCAGGCGTTTCCATCTTACACCTTCCCCTCTCTGCCAGCTCTCAGCATGCCTTCCAGGACGTGGCTGGTGTTTGGCTAATGTTTGCATGGAGTTCAGTCTCTCTCCTGGAGAAAAGGGCAGATATTCTGATGGCTGGGGCACCAGCTGGGGCTGTGGATTCCTGCTAAAACCTAGCAGCGCAGCCGAGGGGAAGGAGCCCTGGAATCTGAGTCTGGAGGCCGGGTCAGAGTCTTGACACTGATCCTCAGCTCACTAGAAAATGAAGGCACTGTGATGCCTGAGGTGTCGGCTGCCTCTAGGGTTCCGTGAGTCTCAGAGACCCACCTCTTCAAGAGTAGGTGCCAAGGCTGTCACTGATTTGCAATGATTTTCCCATGTGTTAACTGGAAACTTAAAGGAAACATTAGCCATGAGGGTTGGGAGCTTAGATTAATATTTAAAAAGGATTTACAAAGAAAAGAACCCAGTTAATCCCAAGATAGAGGTCTTTTCATTTCTATTTGTGCAGTGGGTGGAGACAGAGTCCCTGGCTCGGACAGTTCCCACAGCCTTCCCTGTAAAGCCCCTCTGTGGTAGCAGTTTCTAACTTTACAGTCACAAAGCCAGCATGTGCTTCCCATGGCTTCGGCCCCCACTGCTGGCAGATGGATTCAGGGTTCTGACTCTGGCCCGAGGAGGAGGCACAGTGCTTGCCAAGTGAGTGCCAACTTTAGCAAGCAAAGCTTCAGGACAAAATGGAGAGGCAACCATGACAATGGTCTCAGATCACTCTTTATGGCATAAAAGATTAAGGGGTGGACTTTGGTGTGAGACAGGCTTCATTCTTTGAACTATTGTTTGGCAAACTAATTGGTTTACTTAAGCCTCAGATTCCTTATCTGTTAAATGGAGATAAAGATGGTGTCTATATCAGACAGTTCTTGTGAGAATACGATAACACAGTTAAAGCTCTTAACCTAATGCCTAGCAAGCAGTAAGTGCTTATTAAATACTGGTTATTATTATTATGCTTTTGTTACGGTTTGAATGTGTCCCCTAAAGTTCATATGTTGGAAACATAATCCTCAGTGTTTAGAGGTGGGGCCTTATAAGAGGTATTAGGTCAAAGGGCTCTGTACTCAGGGAGGACTTAATGCTTTTGTCTTGGGAGTGAGTGAGTGTGAGAGTGGGTGGTTAAAAAAGTGAGTTTGGGTCCCTTTTGCCCCCTCACTCTCATCCTTTCTTGCCCTTCTGCCTTGAGCCATGGCATGACGCAGCACTGAGGCCCTCACCAGATGCCAATGCCATGCTCTTGGACTTGCCAGCCTCTAGAACTGTGAGCCAAATACATTTCTTTTTCTTTCTTTTTTTCTTCAGATCAGACGGTTAATGTGCTGACATTGTAACAAGGTTTGAGGGTGGCACATCTCACGCATGCGTGTGAACACCCAATCATCATGCTCACAAACTACAAAAGGATCCTGCCAAATACATTTCCGGTAAATTACCTAGTCTTAAGTATTCCATTATAGTAGCACAGAACAGACTGAGACGCGTTATCCTGGCCTCTGTCCCTTGGTTGTTGCATGACAGGATGTTCCCTTCACTACCGAGAGCCGATGTCTCCTGTTATTTCTTAGGCATTAGTACCTTGACAGTTTGGCATAAAATCTCAGTTAGGGCCTCAGAAGACAGAGACACGAGATAACTAGGCTTTCAGAAACACTCCACCTCCACCCACTCAGCTATGAAAAGGGTTTGTTTCCTGCTCCTGGAAATCCACACATTCCTCCTTGCCAGTGTACACACAGGCAGAGATCAAGTGAATATTGACTAGGGTTCCCCTCCTTCCTCTCTTAAATGCCGTCACCTTAATCGGACTGAGGGCACCCCGGAGTCACTCACAGCAGAGTAATTATGTGGAGGCAACACATCCTGCCTATGTCTTCAGACCCCCACCCTCTGGACTGGGAGCTATTGGGCAGCAGCAATGGGGCCTTCTGCAGGGGTCTGCACACACCCCTCCAGATCTGTCCTGGCGATGGTCTGCTGGGCGGAACCCCTTCCACCACCTTCTTCCATTCCATTCACCCCTGAATGTCCTGGGCAAAACGTGTCAGGCCACGGGGAGGAACTTTCTGCTGGTGGTTCCCTAAAGATCCTCTGATGTAGGAAGCCACTACTGCCTGCAAGTTTAAAGTCCCAGTTTCCAGATAAGTACGAGTTTATACTTGTTTATATATTTTTTCCTTAGAGTCTCTGGTTGGTTTTTTTTTTTTTTCCTCCAATGGGCAAGAACTTGGACTTTTTAAAAATTCTTTTTTCTTTCCCCAAATGCTTTGATGAAAGCTTCAGGAGCATTCAACTAATAGATTGGCTGGTAATGACAAAATTAAATACATCAATTCAAGTAACTGGTAAGTGCCATAAATCTAAAAGCAATATATATTTTTAACCACCACATCCTAAATGTCTGTAGGCCAAGCTGGTAGTGTTTGGAGGATTGGAACAGAAAGACATAAGGGACCACTCTATATTTCAGACAAGTCACTTGAGTGAAACAGCAAAAATCAAGAGGTAGGCACCACCGGAGGTGGGTTGGCAAAATCCAGACCAGCTTGCTCTTCTGCCTCCTCCATGGCCTGAAGGCTGGGCATCAGTGGTGTGCCTGGGCATCAGCGGTGTGGCTGGGCATCTGCGGTGTGCTTGGGCATCAGTGGTGTGGCTGCACATCAGCGGTGTGCCTGGGCGCTGGGCATCAGCAGTGTGGCTACGCATCAGCGGTGTGGCTGGGCATCTGCAGTGTGGCTGGGCATCAGTGGTGTGCCTGGGCGCTGGGCATCAGTGGTGTGACTGCACATCAGCGGTGTGGCTGGGCATCTGCAGTGTGGCTGGGCATCAGCAGTGTGCCTGGGCATCAGCGGTGTGCCTGGGCACTGGGCATCAGCAGTGTGCCTGGGCATCAGCGGTGTGGCTGGGCATCAGCAGTGTGGCTAGGCATCAGTGGTGTGCCTGGGCATCTGCAGTGTGGCTGGGTATCAGCAGTGTGGCTGGGCATCAGTGGTGTGGCTGGGCATCTGCGGTGTGCCTGGGCACTGGGCATCAGTGGTGTGGCTGGGCATCAGCGGTGTGACTGGGCATCTGCAGTGTGGCTGGGCATCAGCGGTGTGGCTGGGTATCTGCAGTGTGCCTGGGCATCAGCGGTGTGGCTGGGCATCAGCGGTGTGGCTGGGCTTGGCTGAGGATTCCGAGGGGTCTCAGACCTGTGCTCCAGGCAGCAAAGCCAGATGGTCCAGTTCTCAAACTCACAAGCCTCAGCGTGTGAGAGAAGTGCTGGAGGGGCTTGCTGACCTGCAGAATCCTGCCCCCAGCTCCCGGGACCCTCCCCAGGATATGCAGTGTCTCTGCTTGTCACGGGGATTTGCAGGACCTGTCTCACACGGCCTCCAGAGGCTGTCAACTTTTCAGGAATTCTGGGAGTTGGTTGTTAAACACAGCCATCACTGAAAATTGAATTATATAAACTTATAAATGATATGACAAGCAAATGAACACTCCAAACATATCCCTTCCTCATTATTTTGCTATTATCTATGTTCTTGAGGTTACCTACAACTATTGTATCTAGATAGCCTCACGTAATATATTGATGTTTCAGTCAACGGCAGACTGTGTATATGGCAGTGCAGTAAGATTTTAATACTGCATTTCCACTGCATTTTTTTTCTTTTTTTTTTCTTTTATTTTTTGAGACAAGAGTCTGGCTCTGTCACCCAGGTTGGAGTGTAGTGGTGCAATCTCAGCTCATTGCAACCTCTACCTCTCAGGTTCAAGTGATTCTCCTGCCTCAGCCTCCCTAGTAGCTGAGATTACAGGCATACACCACCATGCATGGCTAAAATTTTTGTATTTTTAGTGGAGATGGGGTCTCACCATGTTGGCCAGGCTGATCTTGAACTTCTGACCTCAGGTGATCCGCCCACCTCGGCCTCCCAAAGTGCTGGGATTACAGGTGTGAGCCACCACAACTGGCCTCCACTGCATCTTTTCTATGTTTAGATATGCAAATCCCTATTGTGTTATGACTGCCTGCAGTCCTCAGTATAGTAATCCGCTGTATAGGTTTGCAGCCTAGGAGCGATAGGCCATACCATACAGCCTCGGGGGGAGGAGGCTAGAGCATCTAGGTTTGTGTAAGTCCACTCTGTGACGTTTGCACAATGACAAAAATTCCCTAATGACCCATTTCTCAGCATGTGTCCCCATTGCTATAGTCACCATTATATGACTGTATTATCTCTTCCTAACTCACTGCATACTCAGTGATTCCACACTGGTAGCCTGGAATTGGCCATGGTGAGAGTATTTCCATCATGGAAATTGGTAGAGGCTGTAATCCAGGGCTACCAACCTGAGAGTCGCTGTTAAACATTTAGCAGCACACTGCAGGCAGGGGAGCGGGGAACCCGAAAGTCGAGCTGGATAAGCTCCTCAGGTGGTTTCCATGCAGAAGCTCTGCTTGGAACAACACTGTACAGTATAGACTTAGAGGTCCAGGCCCAGGTACCTCTGTGCTCTGGGGTATTAGTCCACTTTCATGCTACTGATAATGACATATCTCAGACTGAGCAATTTACAAAAGAAAGGGGCTTAATGGACTTACAGTTCCATGTGGCTGGGGAAGCCTCACAATCATGGCAGAAGGCAAGGAGAAGCAAGTCACATCTTACATGGATGGCAGCAGGCAAAGAGAGTCAGAGCCTGTGCAGGGAAACTCCCACTTATAGAACCATAGGATCTCGTGAGACTTGTTAACTATCACGAGAACAGCATGGGAAAGATCTGCCCCCATGATTCAGTACCTCCCACCAGGCCCCTCCCACAACATGTGGGAATTCAAGATGAGATCCGAGTGGGGACACAGCCAAACCATATCACTGGTAAAGGAACTGAGGTGCTGCCTTCATGGTTCTGTAAATGACCCCATGACTTGCCCCACTGTGCTTAGCCCTATCGTCTGTAAAATAGTGATGTACCTAGTATCTACCCCCATTGTATGATTGTGAGGATTCAATGAGATAATCCATGTTAAAGTCTCAGAACAGTGCCTGGTATGTAGAAGGCTCTAGATAATTGTTACCTATTATTATGATCTGACAAAAGAAAGTTAATTTTGTCCAGCAGATCATCTTTTTTTCTTTTACATCTTTTTTTTTTTTTTTTTTTTCTTATCAGGGTCCTGCACAGTCTTTGTAGAACATTTAGAAAATAAAAATAATCAAAACAAGGAAAAGAAAAAGCATCCATTTCTAGCACCTGGTGAATATTTTGGGGGGCCTTTAGCCTTCTAGTCTTTTTCCCGCACCTAAGAGATGTCATTCTTGATGCCCTTCTGGAAGGGGATGCTCTTGTTCGCCAACTCGTGAGGCTTCAGCAATATTTCCTCTCCCACTCCTCATGCTCAGACGCTCCAGGACAGCTGATTTTGTCACCATGATGAAAGGGTACTGGCAATGGGAATGACATCTATAGTGTGACGTTCTGTATTTACTTTATTATCATTTAGAAGGATCCTTCTAATCAATTTATTAGACAAATATTTGTTGAACACATAGTAGATACAAGGTATTGTGCTGTGGGGGTTGTGAGGGTAACAGCGTTGTCTTGTCCTTAATAATAAGGTCAATAGTATTAATAGCGTGAATTACTATTTAGTAGGGAAAGAAATATTAAGAAAACGGGAGGCTGAGGCATGAGAATCGCTTGAACCCCAGAGGCAGAGGTTGCGGTGAGCCGAGATCTGCACTGCAGCCTGGGCAACAAGAGCAAAACTCTTATCTCCAAGAAAAAAGAAAGAAAGAAAGAAAAATCAAGAAAAAATAACCCATAGATTTTCTTTTAATCAGATAAAGGAACCCCTCATCTTCACCTATTTATCAGAGTGCCAGGGAGGCCGGCGCCGGCTCGGAGGAAGGGCGGCTCTTCCTGGCAGCACTGCTGGGTGCTGCGGAGGGGAGGTGGGGAAGCCTGTGGTGTCCCGGCGTTCCCAGTGCCCTCCTCTCTGGATTCTGCGGCCTTCAGATTCAGCAGATAATCTTCCTGCAAGATCCCAAACCAAGCCGACTTCTTCATTTTGTGCTCAAACTGTGGACCCGGAGTAACCTGGCCCATTGCCAGAGAAGACCCCAGCGAGCTGGGCCTGGGGAGAGATGTGTATTGATCTCTCATGCTTAAGGGATTTTTAAAGGGTCATTTTGACAATGGAAGATTGGGCTTCTCCACTGACTTCGAATCCAAAGCTTTTGCTGGACCTCTCGGGCCTCTGCCTTCGACCTTCCTCAATCGTCTCTTGCAGGACCCAGGGTCCACGGTTCCTGTTGCCAGCCGATGAGGTGAGGCCGCTTACAGCAGCAATCTGGCTACAATTTGGCTTGAGGTGGCCTTGTCTGTGTGTTTTTTGTGCCCTATATGACGACAGAAGCTGAGCTCTCTGCTGGCAGCCGCCATGTGGGTGACCCACCTTGGAAAGGGACCGCCTGGAGCAGAGACAAGTGGTCCCTGCTGAGTCCCAAGCTGCACATTCATGAGCAAAATACATAGAAATTGCCAGCTGGGCACAGTGGCTCATGCCTGTAATCCCAGCACTTTGGGAGGCTGAGGCAGCTGGATCACCTGAGGTCAGGAGTTCGAGACCAGCCTGGACAACATGGTGAACTCCCGTCTCTACCAAAAATACAAAAATTAACCAGGTGTGATGGTGTGTACCTGTAATTCCAGCTACTCGGGAGGCTGAGGCAGGAGAATTTCTTTAACCGGGAAGGTGGAGGTTGCAGCGAGCTGAGATCACGCCACTGCACTCCAGCCTGGGTGACAGAGCAAGACTCCATCTCAAAAAAAAAAAAAAAAAAAAAAAAAAAGAGTAGAAATATGATTGTTGTTTTAAGTACCTAAGTTTTGGGATGGCTTATTATGGGATGTTTATCAACCCTTGCCCCGGACCAAGCATTTCTCAGGATGTGTGACTTTCAGGGCTGAAATCCTGACAATCCTGGGCAAACTAGGATGGTGTTCACCCTAAGCTTCAGTCTTCAGTTGGCTGACTTCTCCAGCTCTGTTTCTGAGCTATGTGTGTAAACCTCCATACTTTAGACGAACAGTTTCAAACAGAGACAATGTAGCCCTCCACACCCTGAACAAGGTGGTGGTAATTATGTCTGCTGGCCCAATTTCACCGCACCTGCACTCTGTAAGCGACCGAAGCAGCTGACTCAGGCACTGAAATGTGGGGGTGGGAGTCCTCCCGGAGCCCCATCCGGACTACCTTCATGCTTTCTGCTCCTGCCCAAGCAGACTCCTGCCTCAGGGCTGTTGCAGCTGCGTGTCTCTGCCTGGAACACTCATATCCCAGCTCCTTTGACTTCTTTGAGTTATCTTGTTTCCTGATGGCCTCTTTGTACCAATGTGAGCCCCATAGGGACCGGGGAGGGGTCGCATCCATACTGTCCAGCACTCAGTGCCTGCTCAGCAGGAGGGGCTCACACCTTTTTTTTTTTTTTAAACAGTCTCCCTCTGTTGCCCAGGCTGGAGGGCAGTGGCATGTCTCAGCTCACGGCAACCTCTGCCTCCCGGTTCAAGCGATTCTCCTGCCTCAGCCTCCTCAGCAGCTGGGACTACAGGCACGCGCCACCATGCCTGGCTAATTTTTGTATTTTTAGTAGAAACGGGGTTTCACTATGTTGGTCAGGCTGGTCTCAAACTCCTGACCTCGTGTTCCGCCGGCCTCGGCCTCCAAAAGTGTTGGGATTACCGGCGTGAGCCACCGTGTCTGGCCCACAACGTATTTTTTAATGCTGGAAGAAAAAATGAATTGGGAGGGTGCTCAGAGGTTATGCAGGTCCAATGCCCACCACAGCAGAAATCCCCTCCGTGATAACCCTGGCAGGTGATAACCTTTGGCTTAGACGCCTGTAGCAGGGATTCCATTAGGTTTTTAAAAAGCGTTTCACTGTGATATTAAGAATCATCTCCCTATGATCTTTCACACCTGCTCCCCAGGCCTTCATCACCCTGACTGCCTCCTGCAAGAGAGCTCAAGCTTGCCATATCCTGTGCACTGGTGATGAGGCCCAGACAGGTCTCCGGCCCTCTGGATCCGGGTATCTCTATGTGTCCTGAAATGACTTATTTCAGGATGGTGGGCACCAATATAGCCTCAGGAATTCGGAAAATTTGTAAAAATGAAGGAAGAGTTCATCTGGTGGCATAGTTTTTTCTTTTTAAACTTAAGATGATGGGAAAAGCTGAAGAAAGTAACACCTCAAATCTAAATCTTATGCAATCTTATCCAAAATAATTTGGATACCTCGGGATCCAGGTTCTGTCTCTCCGATCTCCTATTTAGAGACACCATAAAAGACCATCTCTGATCCTGGGCTACACTCCACTGTTCAACATGACGGGCAGTGGTTCTATTTCTCCAGGTTAGAACCCATGAGGGGAGTGGCTCCACCGTTAGGAACCTGTATGTCCTGTGGGCCCATCTGATTTCATCTCCTCTGAGCGGGTGCGGGATGCCCAGGGGCCATGCAGAGAGGAGACGGTGCAGCCCTGGGAATGTGGGGCAGGTGACCTCTTGTCCTGGCCTGTGAGGCCGGCCCTGTGTTCTCTGAGGGGTCACCCTCTGCAGAAGTATGCTCTCAAGGTGTGGCCTCAGCCAAAAAAACAAACAAGATGAAGCCTCCAAGTTTAGCTCCATTGTAGCTATTGTGCTTGTACCAGAGACTTTTGTCTGGGGGCCGGCAGGAATCTTGAAGCCTGGTGTTGCTCTGCGTAGGCTGCCGAAATGACAAGGGGACAGCTCAGCTCTGGACAAAGACACCTCCCTGGACGCTGAGACATCACGCTTTACCTCCAAGTCCTTAACGAGGATGGAGAAAACCACAGAGTGAATGCTGGAACTTCCCGGGACGTTCCCTTCCTCACCCAGTACCCCCCGCCATCAGCCTCAGTCCTTTTCATTTTAATCAGTCCCATAAGCCAGCCTCTACTTTTCAAAGGAATCTGAGGAACCTTCCTGCCAAGTCCCACTGAGCTCTTGCCACACTCGAGGATGTGGGCCAGGCTCTTGTGTAGGTTAAGGAAGTCTGAGAAGAATAGAGATTATAGGAAACAGTCTACCTTTCTTTACAAGGCCTTGTTTTGCATCCCTGAAATCTCAGATTCAGCTCTTACAATGAAGTCCTGTTGTAGAAAGAGCTGGCCTTTTATCACCACTTAAAATCTAATTAATCCATATTGAAGCACAAAGATTTCTGTTGTATTTTAGGGTGAGGGGTCATAGAGCCTTCTTTGTTCATCCTTAGACTTATAATCATCAGGCATTGGGGATATAATTTTACCAAATTGGAAGGTAACAGATCAAGTCCTTATCAGAAAGCCTAACTCATAGTTTTAAGAGAGTCCTTCGTCCTTTACATGAAACATTATATTCAAGAAGAACAAAAACGCATTTCAGAGTGCCCAAAGAGTTAATGACCACAGCTTATATTCCAGGCAGCATAGAACCAAGATCGTCACATTACCGTCAACCACAAAAGACAGCAGATCCTATAGGGGTGGCAAAGTCCTAAGACTTGTTGCAATGGCTTTAATCTTTAGAATAGTGATGCAATCTGTTGGGCTTTTACTATCTTTCCTGGGATGGATTTTATCCATTATTACAACTTATTTGCCACACTGGAAGAACCTCAACCTGGACTTAAATGAAATGGAAAACTGGACCATGGGACTCTGGCAAACCTGCGTCACCCAAGAGGAAGTGGGAATGCAATGCAAGGACTTTGACTCCTTCCTGGCTTTGCCTGCTGAACTCAGGGTCTCCAGGATCTTAATGTTTCTATCAAACGGGCTGGGATTTCTGGGCCTGCTGGTCTCTGGGTTTGGCCTGGACTGTTTGAGAATTGGAGAGGGTCAGAGAGATCTCAAGAGGCGACTGCTGATCCTGGGAGGAGTTCTGTCCTGGGCCTCGGGAATCACAGCCCTGGTTCCTGTCTCTTGGGTTGCCCACAAGACGGTTCAGGAGTTCTGGGATGAGAACGTCCCAGACTTTGTCCCCAGGTGGGAGTTTGGGGAGGCCCTCTTTCTGGGCTGGTTTGCTGGACTTTCTCTTCTACTGGGAGGGTGTCTGCTCAACTGTGCAGCCTGTTCCAGCCATGCTCTCCTAGCTTCGGGCCACTATGCAGTGGCGCAAATACAAACTCAGTGTTCCTACCTGGAAGACGGGACGGCAGATCCTCAAGTGTAAGACTCCGACGAGGCCAGAGATGTATCCTATATCAACCGTGATGACAAAGATCTCTTTGTTTTGTAGCTAAATCTGTGATGCTCACGTTTTCTCATTCAGTAACTATTTCTCTACAGTAGGCAGACCCACTTCCCTCTAAAATCTAGAGAATAATGAAGGAAAAATATTTCATCTAAAAGAAAATGATTATGGTAAGCATTATATAGGTAGAAGTGAAACAAGCTTCACTGATCTGGTTATTGAAATTAATGTGGTGGCTGTCCAGTATAGTCAGTTTCAAGCTTTAATGTGTAAATTTTGTATTAGAAAGCTTTTGTTGTTGTTGTTGTTGGTAGTTAGAAATGATCATTAGTTTCTGTTTCCTAAAGAAAAAAACTAACAATCTGAAAATTTTAAGTGTTCTACTTTAGCAAAGCCACATGCTAAGCCAACCCCAAAGTGTTATTTCCACAGCAACGACTTTTTTCTTCTTTGAACAGAAGTGGTTTGTGTTTAGGGTATTACCAGGCACTCAGTGCGACAAGATTTTATGAGGCTGAAGAGTTTTCAGTACCTCGTGATACTCTCAGATTTAAAATACTGGCCAATCTCTTCTCTCGTCCTTTCCCTCGAAACCTTCGTATTAAAAAAAGAAAAACAATTCCAAAGACATTTTTCTTAATATCCAGATATTGTCAGGTCATTTGAATAAAAACTTTCCTTTGTTCAATGAAAAATCACTAACATGGGGATATATACTTTAGTGGTGAATAAACAGAAATGCTGACTCCAACCTGCAGAGTCCTAATGCTGAACTCTTTCCTCGACTTAGAAAGTATATATAAGAAAAAAGTGTTTATGCACACAAGCGTAAATCTGACAGAAAGGCATGCAGTTAAATAAACTAGATATGTAGTTTGGTATTGCTTCAAATGCTGTGTGGTATATGTAGCCTGAGGAATTTCTGAAACACTGGCCCGAGTTAAGGTGTAGAGATATTTCTGATAAGATTGATTTATTTGGTTAAGAAATACTTTTCTTGAACCTATTTTTTAAAAGTAACACTCAGTATTACCATAACATGCACATTTGAAATGTGAGAACTATAAGAGATGAAAATCTGACAGGTGCAATTAGTGAGATACAAAGCAGGAGGTGTTGAACCAAAACCATCAGTTAAACATTTTGCATTCAGACTTAATTCTTTGTTAGAAAGGTTGGGAATAACAAGAAAGCCATTTTAACCTTAACAACGAAAGGAGGATTATTATCACTTAATTATATTTCAGTGACAAACTGCTTTCTGCAAAATCCAGCCCACAGGACACAAACACAATCTTGGCCACACCTTGGCATTACTGGTTTGCAGCATTATTTCCCTATCCTTTTCTGAAACCCATTCAACATGGAATCAAACAATAGCAACTCTGGCAAGAATCCTCCTATATACACAATGAAGAAATATTTCTGAGCTTCATAAGTTATAACACAAGTGTCACACTTCTTTTCACAGCAACCGAAGGACAGGAGTTTGTTTGGTTAAAGCTCTCAGGACATTATAATGGCTTTAGTATTTAGAACTGTGGCTCAACTAGCTGGAGTTTCATTATCTTTGCTGGGATGGGTTTTATCCTGTCTTACAAACTACCTGCCACACTGGAAGAACCTCAACCTGGACTTAAATGAAATGGAAAACTGGACCATGGGACTCTGGCAAACCTGCGTCACCCAAGAGGAAGTGGGAATGCAATGCAAGGACTTTGACTCCTTCCTGGCTTTGCCTGCTGAACTCAGGGTCTCCAGGATCTTAATGTTTCTATCAAACGGGCTGGGATTTCTGGGCCTGCTGGTCTCTGGGTTTGGCCTGGACTGTTTGAGAATTGGAGAGGGTCAGAGAGATCTCAAGAGGCGACTGCTGATCCTGGGAGGAGTTCTGTCCTGGGCCTCGGGAATCACAGCCCTGGTTCCTGTCTCTTGGGTTGCCCACAAGACGGTTCAGGAGTTCTGGGATGAGAACGTCCCAGACTTTGTCCCCAGGTGGGAGTTTGGGGAGGCCCTCTTTCTGGGCTGGTTTGCTGGACTTTCTCTTCTACTGGGAGGGTGTCTGCTCAACTGTGCAGCCTGTTCCAGCCACGCTCTCCTAGCTTCGGGCCACCATGCAGTGGCGCAAATGCAAGATCATCATCAACTGGAGACAAGAAACACCAACCTGAAAAACTAAGCCAGAAAGGACAAGCGTCTGCTGCTCAGGAGACGCTTGCTCAACACTGGATTTGGTAGGAGGTCCTGCTCTAGTCATCTCACTGTGCTTCTGATTTTCGAAAATGCATTTTTTCCTGTGGCTATTAAACTATAGTTTCTTTCCAAGACTGGTAAACTATTTTTATCTTCTACTCTGAGATCAAAACCAATCAAGACTTAATAGTAATGACACCCATTACTGTGGATGAGTGTTCTCAATTTTAAAACAGTGATTGCATAGAAGTGGTAAATAAAACGTTAATCTGTATGTGTCTTTGAAGGTGTTATTCATATGGAGCGGAATCATCTGGCAGATCATTGACTTCTTTCAGGTGTTTAAGATAACCTAGTATAATAAGCCTGAGCTGCATATTTATTTAAAATGCATGACGTCTTATTATATAAAATAATGATTAGCTCTTTAAAAGCTTTAGAGGTGAAAGGCGTAGACACATCATCTCCTGAATCAGAGACCTGTGTCTCTATGGAACCTTTTCTCGAAAGGCAGCCACATTCAGTCATGCCTTCTAAACTATGTCAGAAGCAGGAGGGTGATCTTGTGTTTTGGATGATTCAAGTAGGCTCTGGCACACAGACGTGCTTCTGCATCCTGTGCTCTGTATTTCATGGGCAGCGTTTCTGGCTTCCCTGGCACTGAGCAGTCTGTGGGGGGCAGGGCAGGGCAGGGCAGGACTGGTGTGTGTGTAGAGAACCTCCTGGGATGGCTGTCTCTCCGTGGAGCACGCTGCCAGCCCAGGCGGAACGACCACAGAGCACATACTCTGGAGCCCTTCATTTTATTTGCACAATGAAAAGACTTCGTCCTTTTTTATCAGCAATACATATAGTTCCAACAAGAACTATTCATCACAAACTGCTGGCTTGGGGATTTCTTCGTGAAATATTTTGTATTTGCTTGGTACATGGTTCCAGGAAACTCGTGTGTTTGTGCCAATCAGGGAAATAAACTGAACAATAAGCTACACGGAAATAGACTATTAGGCAATATGTAGCTTTGTTTTTTGTTTTTGTTTTTTTAAAAACCGACTGAATTTTTTTCCACCCACAAACACATGGAAAGTGCAGAAACCAAAGTTAATCTATGTGATGTATTTGCATACGTTTACAAACAAGACAAATTAAAACAGAAACATGTTCAGAATTTAACCTGATTAAATATTAAGTTCAGTCCTGAGCTTTTGATATTTAATACAATATAGATAAAGCAATAGCAAAAAATTTTAATTTATTTGATTTGCATGCTACAGAGATTTAGCTAAACTTTGTTCATTTGGCTAGCAATATCCTTTTTGTACCTGTAACACTTAAGATTCTGATATACAAAATTGTAATAATATAATGATAATTCAAACTTGAGAACTAAATATTACATTCTTTTTACCCTGTGCGAATAAATTCTACCTTTTAAAAATAGTATTTATAATATTAAAATTCGTATTTGTCCATATGGTTTTGTGATCAAGTTATTAAAATGTTTTGTCACTGTGAATCATTTGGGTTAGTACAAATATGACAAGATTATTAAAAGCTGCCTATAAATACATAACACTATTGCTGACTTTTAAAGTGTAGAAAAAGGATTATATTAAAATAAGTTCATCTCTCATGTTAGAAATGAGGAAATTTTGTGAAATACAACAACCAAAAGCATCTTGGTCACAACTGCTAACTACCAGCCTGAGACAGATTTTATTCTTTAATACTTGTCTGAAACTTTTTGTATTACAAAAAGTCAACAGCTAATCTGATGAAAGACTTATAAAGCTGTAAATATTCCAATATAGTCTCTTCTGTGTCAAATATTTAAAATGGCCAGAATCAAACTATATATTAAACAGAACATAAATAAGACTGTAAATAAATAAATGAAGAAAATAAAATCGTACAGAACAACTACACATAATTCTATAGACATCTTCATGGTCAAACTAAGACGCTGAAAACAGCTCACCTTCATTTACCTCCATGTTAAATAAACTTCTGTCTTTCACACTGGACCTCGACAAGGGTGAACTGTATTCTTTTTCTAGTTTTCCTTAGTCATCTAATAGAATGAACTGGGCAGTCTTAAAGGACTGTACTCAGTCAATTCACTAGGCTGGTTTTTGTTCAAAGTAGTGTCTGCCATGTCCAGTTATGTCTTCAGAGAAATTTGTATGTTAAATGGTGGGACATTTAGGAAAAAATAAAGTTCTAGGCTCAGAAGTTGCTTAATTTGAACTTCGATTCCAATAACATGAACTTTCTAAAATATATACAATTGCTTTCAAGAAAATAAAAATTATTGCTAGTGAGCATTCTAACTTAGGAACACAACTTTTTTGTTCTTTAAGGGGTTCCTTTAAGACGATTTTGGATATCTTTAAAAAAATCTATTTTATTTGCCATATTAGATGGCTAACCCCAAATTGTTTCTGAGTAATAAGTATGGTTTAAACGGTCTAAATATTATATATTTTAAAAGCTTGATGCTGGCAGAGCTGCACTGAGGATATGTTTTTTAAGACGTGCCTGGGTTGGGTAAGGTGAAATTCTAAACTGGAGGACGCATTAGTCAGTTTCTCTCTCTAAACTTGTTCATCCAAAAGTCATTTCATAAACAATTTAGCTTATACTTCAAATTAATAATCCCCCCCGGCACATTCTTCCCTTTGCCTCCGAACTATTTACCATAAATTATAGATAGAATCCCCTAAAAATGAGAGCTATGAAGCAATTTCTACTAAATGTTAGAAATCTCTTGATAAACTCGTTTGTTTTTGGCAATTTTCATTCTATCAAGACATCTTTTCCCCTCTTCTTGGTTATACCAAATGAGTGCCGATGCGTTTCTCTCCACACCTCCAGCTTTCTCTGTCCTTAGAACACAGGGCCACCACTTGGCACCATCCTTAGATTTAGGGCAAAACACTGGTGCAAGCCAGAAACTCACATTTGAACACTTCTGCAAATTCAGGCTGAGTGAGAGAAACCAGCTGCTCATTTGATGAGCTTATTTGTATCTCTACATGGCTGGTGTTCTTTCTTCTCCTTGCCCTCAGTGTCATGAATCCCAAGATCTTTAGTGTAGCCAAGAGCAGTGCTCCTTTGTATTCTTATTCTTAAGATAACTTGGTAGTTTATATTTTTGTTTTCTTTAGAAAAATATAAAAGGACAAAAAGGAAATCGTTTTAAGGAAACCAGGTGTTGCTGCACAGGTGATGGCCATGAACGCAGCATCCATTTTGGGTGGACTTTGGAACGCTGCACCCCAGCGACTGCTCACACTCTCCTCGCCAGCGCACAGATACCACGTGGCGGTGCTGCCATCGGCACGGCCTGCTCACAGAAACACAAAGGAGAAGCAAGACCACCTGCTGAACCAAGTTGTCTCTCAACAGTCGGCTCAACAGTACACACGTGGGGTAGTACTGCCTCCATTCCGTGTTTACAAAATAAAGCCCACTGGCAATGCGCACATTCTGGGCAACATTTGTGTACCAGATTATCCCATTTTTCTTATCTGATTTTTTCTTGTTTAAGCACATAAAAATTACACTCAAGATACTTTAAAAATTAAAATGTTGAAAATCTGACGTGAAATAAAAGTTCTTCAAGAGTTGACAGTTATGTTACCAAAAACAACCAAACACCAAAACAAAAAAACAAATCTTCAGTCTTTTACCCTCCCTAAAAAGGTGAACAGATGACAAAATAATTTCTTAAACCATGTAATCACACATCGTCAGCCGGCAGGGACGGGATGCTTATCTTTGCTCTGGTGAAGTAGGCAATCTTCTCCCTAGAGTTGGGGTGAGAAATAAATTGACTTAAATATGACGCTAAAAATACTCTGGGACGATTAAAACAGTCCCCAGGGCCTGCAGCGGCAGTGATGTCTCTACAGGCACAGGCAGAAGCTCTTTTCCTTAAGCAGAACTCCGTCCATGTACAATCAGGAGAGTCTCTGCCTGCTAAAGGGAGGGCGTCAAGGAGAACAGCAGCTCTGGCTCACGGAAGTCACCTATAGACCACGCCAGTAAGCTCCCTTCAGGGAACTTCCAACAGAAGACAGGTTTTAAAATAGTAGGGGTCTGGTCTAGGATGGGTGCTTCCAAACTAGGCAGTGGAAGACTCAAAAGGCCCAAAATCCTACGTGGAAACTTCTCAGTAACCTCACAGAACAGTACATAATACCAGGAAAAGTCTTTAAAATCGATACCGTGCTGAGGCAGGGACAACCTGATGAGTGACACCACGACTCCAATGAAAGGAGAAGGAAGAACTCACTCTCTGAAAGGCAGTAACTGCCCTGGTCCCGGAGCAGCAGAGAGGCTGAGACAGGGCAGAGTGGTGTTCAGGTGAGGAGAGTACTTAAAAAAAAAGACAAACAGTACGTCTATTTTCCTACAGAACTTCACACTGTACATTTATGCCGTCAGCGCGTATTTCTTGAGGGCATACGACATGCAAGGGGCACACTGGTAGCTGAAGAATCAAGCACTGGCCCTCCTTTGTGAAAGAACAGTCCAGATGGGGGAGGAGGCGCAGGCTAGAAACCAGAGCCGTGGTGAGGATGTTCTGAAGACTAAGGAAGGACAGAGAAGAGGAGGAGTGGAAACACAGGACACTGGAGCGAGCTACTGCTGCGAGCAGCGTCCTTTACATTTGTTCACTTCCATAAGAGGAAAATGAGAACGAAAATCGCCCCGAGTGTGGGCGTGATGTCAGCAGAGGCCGTAAGGCGCAGCTGGTAACTGGGGTGTTTAAAAATACCCGCACTAGTTGCCAGTGCCTGCATTTGAGATATTTCATATAAAATTGTTGATTTCTAACTTCTCTTGAAAAATTAGAAGGCCAGGGACCATCAGGCTCCTGATTCCAGGTGAAATAAGCAGCTGGGGTGGTGCCGGGCAGAACGCCCCAGGCCCCACCACTGCCCATCTCACCACCCCAGGCCAGGCACCGGCAGCCGCACAAATCCCACGCCTCCAGCGCGGCCTGTCTCACCCTGTCCATCTCATCATTCTCATCACTTGCCTGGTGATATAATGGCTTCGTATCTTAAGGGAAGCTGGGAATGTTCATGGATTCTTTGCTTCGGGCTTCAGCAACAACTGCTAGTTGTGTGACTTTCCATGCCAGGCAATGCTGCTTACTCTCTAAGTGACCACAGCAACAGGGGCATGGATGGACTCCCCTCACCTGCAGTTCTAAAACCCAAGGAGTGGCACTCCCTGAAAGCCACCAATGTGATTATTTAGCAGAAAAGAGGGCGGAAAAACCTCTCCACTACAAGATGCTGCATAAAAATGAAGGAGCTGTGAGCCCACTAAGGCACACTGCTGCTGCCACATGGTGCGTGGCCCTGCCCTCCCGCCTGGCACTAGACAGCGTGCCAAAGCTGTCCCTGCTCCACCACGTGACCTAGCTTCCCCACACTTCAAAAACACTCGCTTCTTCCAGGCTTCTCCCCTTTACACCTAAACGCTTTCCAAAGACTCGTCTATACAAAACCTCAACCAAAACCCAATAAAAACCCAGTAGGAGCAAACCTTTCTGCTGAGCTCCCTCCGACGGGGCTGAAAACATCTGCTGTGCTCACCAGGGATCCCGGGTGCACTTTGCACTTCTCTCCATCAATCTCCTCTCCCCGTCCTCCAGCCCCAGGCTCCTGGTTCTCCTCTGACCTCTCCAGCCATTCCTTCTAGTATCTCTTTTGGGGTGAGCCCTTCAGTGACTGGTGCCCACCAGGCCTCCTTTCCCAGTCACCTCACATTTTCTGGGATGTCTGGTCCATTTCCACTGATGAGACCAGTGCATTGAAGATGAGCACTCCCATTTTTTAATCTCCATCCTGGCCCCTAACCCTGGCTTTAGATTTTTATTTTCCCTTGTCTGCTGGTCATGGTTACCTTGCTGGCCTGCTGGCATTGCCTGGTGTGCCATGGCAGAGGTCAGCATCCTCCCCACACCCCTGCTCCCCAGCGTTCTCCATCTCAAGCGCTGGCACCATAGGACAGCCATTGCCCCCCACGAACCTCCCATGAACCTCACAGGCCACCCTTACCCGTTTCTCCCCAGCCCACTCTCCACAATGCCTGATATCTGCCCCACATAGAAGCCATTCCCATCATTTGGTTTTGTGCGTGGAGAGCCCTGCTGGCTGCCCGATCGGAAACCGCCAGCGGAAGCCTCTTGTGCACAGCTTCCGAGGCCTGCGCAGTCTGAGCCCAGTTCTCCCAGACAGGCTCGCCAGCGGGCAACTCCCCATGCGCCAGAGCTTGGCACTGACTTCTAAGGTCTGTGCCTCTGTCCGTGCTGTTCTTCCTGCCTCAATGTCCCACTCAAAACTGCCACCCCTAGGTGCCTAAGGAGCTTGCAGCCATCCTTCCATGATGGGTTCTCTTATCATCTCCTCCGCTGGTGCCCGCAGCCCCAGCACCTGCCCCATACGGATTGAGGCTCCTCCCACATCTCTCACAGGTCCCTACCCATACCTTTAGTGAGCTCTTTCCACACGCACTGCGATGACCTGGTTACCTGCCTGTCCCCACTACAGCCTAGAGCCCCCGAGAAGAGCAGAACACACATGTTCTTAGCCTCCGCATCTCAGGGCCTGACAAGGTGCAAGGTTTCTGGGGCTGCCCAAGGAATGTCTGTGAAATGAGGGAACAAAACCCCAAAGATGTCTGAGTTTTCTGTACCTTTGTATCCTGGGTCGGAAAAGTCCAATGAGATGTGCCAACAGCTACTAAGAGCTGGGGACACCCTGGGTTCTTGAGGGGAGTTAGGCTCTCATCAGCCTTTAACTCTGCCAGTCACATTTATCACCTCAGGTGCAAATGGGAAATTACATATTCAAGGCAGGGAACACAGGATTTCTGTCTCAGATCCTAGTATTAACTTTCACTGCACTGAGGTGAATTCCTACACAATCAGACCACATGAGGGCAACCCAAAAGCTGTCCTGGATGGGGCTATTCACCTGAAGGACTGCACCTGCCGAGGCACCTTCTGGCTCTGCTCCCGGAGCCGACACACGTCCTTGGAGACTTGCCTCATCAACTTCTCTGCATTCAAACCTTGCTTCTGCTCTTCTTTGGACTGTTCGGCCTGGAAAAGGGAATAAAAATGTAAGAGAAACACAAAACACTGATTAGAAATCCCTGGAGACAACCTATGAGGCTTGAAAGATTGTGACTAAAGTCAGGAGGGCAAGCAAGACAGTCAGTGGGCTGGTGTCCTTTACATCACGCGTCAGGGGCCAACACCCACGTGACCAGCTCATGCTGAGTGGGAGCATATGTGGATTTTGGGGTAAGTTCATTTCAATCACATTTTAGAAATCGAATTACACAGGTAATATGTGACAATTTTATTACATCTGAAAAACCTAAGAACTCTTAAAAATGAAACAGAAAATTACTCATAGCACGTTTTCCAAAAAATACCTACAGTTAAAGAATGTTTTGGGCAAATACACTTTCAACATCTTATTTATCTTTTTGACCCTTTTTTCTAACTTAGCCATTTAAAAAGCTGTTTATTAAAGTAGAATTTACCAATCAAAAAATGTGCACATATACGTGTATAGCTCAAATAACTTTTACAAATTGAACACACCCATGTCACCGGCACCGGATGAAGGAGAGGACACTCCTGTTTCCAAGAAGCCCCCCTTGGTGCCCTTCCAGCTCTGCCCAGGGTTCCCAGCATTCCGACTTCTAACGCGCCTCTTCTGTCCTTGGTATAGAGGAGCAGTAAACAGATACTCTTTAGGGTCTGGCTTCTCTTGCTCAACATTATGCTCACGAGAATCATACACACTGTTATCTGTAGTTGTAACTCACTTTCCCCACAGCTGTATAATACTCTACTGTATGACTTTACTACAATGTATAATCTGTTAGTAATAATGAACATTTGGGTACTGTGCATGAACATGTTTTAAAATAAAAATGTACCAATGATATTATATTAAAAGTTGCCTTTTCATTTCATTCTTTCACTCATATCCATTCACTCATTCATTCACCCAGTCAACAAATATTTGTGGACTGCCTTTTAAGGAAAGGTGGTATAAGTGGGTGAAGAGCAAACACTCAGATATATGGCTTGGGGTCAAATTTCATTTATACCACTTACTAGCGATGTAAATCTGGGCAAGTTGCTTGACCTCCTGGTGTCTTAGTTTTTCCATTTGTAAACTGGGAATAAGTACTTACTTCAAAGTTGTGAAGTTTAAATGAGTACATACACATGTAAAGTACTTACAGCAGTACCCAACACATCACTGAATATACTATTTCAGAATGAAGCTATCACTGTTGCTTTTTTTTTTTTTAAACAATATGCCAGGTTCTGTACTAGGTGGCAGGGTTATAGTTGTGAACAAAACAGGTGAAGTCCAGGCTGGGAGGCCAAGGTGGGAAGATTGCTTAAGGCCAGGAGTTTGAGACCAGCCTGGACAACATAGGGAGACACTGTCTCTATGAAAAAAAAAAATTAACTAGGCGCGATAGCATGTGCCTGTGGTCCCAACTACTCAAGAGCCTGAGGTGAAAGGATCACTTGAGCCTGGGAGTTTGAGGCTGCAGTGAGCTATGATCTACCACTGCACTACAGCCTTCATGACAGAGCAAGACCCTGTTTCAAAAACCAAAACAAAGAGAAAAACAAGTGAAGACCAGTGGCAGAGAAAAACAACAGCAAAGAACAGAAACTGTTTAATAATTATTAAAAATCAACAACATATTGTATTTTCTCAGGTTAAACCTTCCTCACATAACATTAAAAAACATAGTCTATTTATTAGAGCAGTTTTAGGTTCATAGCAAAATGGGTTGGAAAGTAGAGTTCTCATTTACTCCCTGCCCCTACTCATGTACAACCTCTCCCACTATCAGCATCCTCCGCCAGCCTGGTACATCTGTTACAATCAGTGAACTCATATTGACACTTCATTATCACCTCAAATCCATAGTTTATATTAAGCTTTGCTCTTGGTGGTGTACATTCAATGGGTTTTGGCAAAAGTGTAACGACAGGTACCCACCATTATAATATCATACAGAGGAGTTTCATTGCTTTAAAATTCCCCTGTGCTCTGCCTATTCCTTCCTCTTGGTGTTATGCATTTAAGTTTCCTCCATGTCTTTTTCATGGCTTGATAGATAGCTCATTTCTCTTTAGTGCTGAAGAGTATTCCATTGTCTGAATATACTAGTTTATTTAACCATTCACCTACTGAAGGACATCTTGACTGCTTTCAAGTTTTGGCTATTATGAATAAGGCTGCTGTAAATATTCATGCAAACGTTTTCATGTGGACGTAAGTTTTCAACTCATACCAAGGAGCACAACTGCTGAAGAGTATGTAAGAATCTGCTTAATTTTATAAGAAATCTACAACTGTCTTCGAAAGTGCCTGTATGATTTTGCGTTTCTATCAGCAATGACTGAGAGTTCCTGTTGCTCCACATCCTTGTCAGCATTTGGTGTTGTCTGTGTTTTGGATTTTGGCCACTCTAACAGGTGTATAGAGGTATCTCATTGTTGTTTTACTCTGCAATTTCTTATTGATATATGATGTTAAATATCTTTTCACGTGTTTATTTGTTATCTGCTTTGGTGAGGTGTCTGTTCAGGTCTTTTGCTGATTTTTAAACTGGGTGTTTGTTTTGTATTGTTGAGTTTTAAGAGTTTTTTGTAACTTAGATAACAGTCCTTTATCAGATATAACTTTTACAAATATTTCTCCCAATGTGTGGCTTGTTTTCTCTTTTTCTTGACAGTGTCTTTCACAGAGAAGTTTTAAATTATAACAAAGTCCAGCTTATCAGTTATTTCTTTCATGGATCACGCCTCTGATGTTGTGTTGTATATGAAAAGTCATTGCCATACCCAAGGTCATCTAGATTTTCTCCTAGGGTAACTTCTAGGAGTTTTATAGTTTACATTCGACATTTAGGTCTGTGATCATTTTGAGTTAATATTTGTGAAGGGTGTAGAAGGGTCTATATCCAGATTCATGTTTTTTTGCATGTGAATAGATATCCAGTTGTTCCAGCATCATTTGTTGAAAAGAGGATGTTTTTTGGATTTATTTTCTTTGCTCCTCTGTCAAAGGTCAGTTGAATATAGTCAGCCCTCTGTATCTGTGGGTTCCACATCCATGGATTCAACCAATCATGAATTTAAAAATATTTGGGAAAAAGTGGATGGTTGCATCTGTACTGACATTGTTTTTCCTTATCATTATTCCATTAATGACATTATTATTACTACATTATACTGTATTACTACTGTCATTAAATACAGTATAACAATTATTTACATAGTATTTACATTATAATAGGTATTATAAGTTATCTGGAAATGATTTAAAGTATATGGGAGGATGTGGGTTATATGCCAATACTATATCATATTATATAAGGGACTTGAGCATCTGTGTCCATGGGGAGTCCTGGAACCAATCCCCACTATGGATGTTGAAGGATGACTGCACACTGAAAAGAGTCGATCTATTTCTAGGCTCTCTATTTTGATTTGTCTGTTTTTTCACTAATACCACACTGCTTTGATTACCATAGCTTTACAGAGTCTTGAAGTCAGGTAGTGTCAGTCCTCCAACTTCATTCTTCTCCTTCAATACTGGGTCTTTTGCCTCTCCATATAAACTTTAGAATCAGTTTGACTATTACATAATAACTTGATGGGATTTTGAGTGGGATTGTATTAAATCTATAGATTGATTTGGGAAGTACCAACATCTTGACAATATTGAGTCTTCCTATAAACATGGAATATTGTCTCATTTATTTAGTTTCTTTTAAATTTTCTTTCATCATAATTATGTAGTTTTCCTCTATAGATCTTATACATATTTTGTTAAGATTTACAAGTATTTCACTTTTTGGATACTAATGTAAATAGCATTGTTTTTAACTTCAAATTCCACTAGTGCATTGCTGGTATATAAAAAAGTGATTAACTTTTGTATAGTAACCTTGTATCCTACAACCCTGTTATAATCACTTATTAGTTCCAAGAGTTGTTTCTGTTTGTTTTGTTTTTGGTCAAATCTCTCAGGTTATCTACATGGACAACCATCTTATGTGTAAACAAAGACAAACAAAGACAATTTTGACTTCCTTCCCAAGCGGTATGCCTTTTTTTTTTCTTTTCTTATCGCATTAGCTGAGATTTCTAGTGTGATACAGAAAAGATGATGTGAGGGGGACATTTTTACCCTGTTCCTAATCTTAGCAGGAAAGCTTCTAGTTTTTCAGCATTAAGCATGATGTTAGTTGTAGAGTTTTCTACATGTTCTTTAAGGTCTCTTCTATTCCTAGTTTGCTGGGAGTTATTTTTAGCATGAGCAGGTGCTGATGTGATTACAACAATTGATTTTGAATGTTAAATCAGCCTTGCGCACCTGGGATAAATCTCCCTTGGTTATGGTATATAATTCTTTTTCTATATAGTTGGATATGATCTGCTAATATTTTGCTAAAGATTTCTGCATCTATATTCACAAGAGGTATGGGTCTGTAGTTTCCTTGTCTTTGCCTGGTTTTGGTATTAGGATAATGCTGGCCTCACAGAATAAGCTGAGAAGTATTCTCTTTGCTTCTGTTCTCCAAAAGAGATTGCAGAGAATTGATAAAGTTGTTTCCTTAAATGTTTGGTAGAGGCCAGGCACTGTGGCTCATGCCTGTAATCCCAGCACTTTGGGAGGCCGAGGTGGGCAGACTACCTGAGGTCACGCATTTGAGACCACCCTGGCCAATGTGGTGAAACCCCATCTCTACTAAAAATACAAAAATTAGCCAGGTGTAGTGGTGGGCACCTGTAATTCCAGCTACTTTGGAGGCTGAGGCATAAGAATCTCTTGAACCTGGGAGGCGGAGGTTGCAGTGAGCTGAAATCATGCCACTGCACTCAACCCTGGGCGACAGTGCAAGACTCTGTCTCAAAAAAAAAAAAAAAAAAAAAAATTGGGTAGAATCTACTAGTAAATCCATCTATGCCTGGTGCTTTCTATTTGGGAAGGCTATTATTGATTCCATTTCTATAATATAGATAGGTCCATTCAGACTATTTCCTGGCAGACTATCTTTCAAGGAATTGATCCATTTCATCTTGGTTATCAGAGTTGAGAGCATAGAGTTGTTCACAGTATTTCTTTATTATGCTTTTAATGTTCACAGGACCTGTAGTGATGTCTCCTTTTTCATTTCTGATGTAATATAATTTGTGTCTTCTCCGTTTTTCCTTACCCTGGTTAGCAGTTTACCAATTTTTTTTTTTTTTTTTGAGATGGAGTCTCGCTCTGTCACCCAGGGCTGGAGTGCAGTGGCACGATCTTGGCTCACCACAACCTCCCCCTCCTGGGTTCCAGTAATTCTCCTGCCTCAGCCTCCCAAGTAGCTGGGACTACAAGTGCATGCCACCACACCTGGCTAATTTTTGTATTTTTAGTAGAGATGGGGTTTCACCATATTGGCCAGGCTGGCCTCGAACTCCTGACCTCGTGATCCACCCGGCCTCGGCCTCCCAAAGTGCTGGGATTACAGGTGTGAGCCACTGTGCTCAGCCCAGTCTACCAATTTTATTGATAATTTGAAAGACACAGCTTACTGACTTCCTGTTTCTAATTCCATTCATTTCTGTTCTAATGGTTATGATTTCTTATCCTTAGTTTGCTCTTTTTTTTCTAGTTTCCTAAGATGCAAACT